TTCATCACCAGCAGCTAGTATTAGCACAAAAAGGTGCCAAAAGAGTGCACTTAGTGGCGCCTGAACATGCGGAAAACGTTACAGTAGTTGCTTATGCAAACGCACTAAGTCATGTCATACCACCCATGATTTTATTCAAAGGACAACGTGGAAAACCTTGCTATTCTGATGGCTTACCAGTAGGCTCAGCTGTACATATGATAGCGAAAGGCAGCATGACGACTGAGATATTCATCAAATGGCTAGAGCACTTTTCAAAATTTATGTCTTCCCCACCAATAATTTTAATTTTTGATGGAGCGTCAAGTCACCTTGATGAGTCGATTGCTGAAAAGGCGGAAGCTTTAGGAATTGAGCTTTTATGCCTGCCCAGCAATACGACTCATGAGCTACAGCCAATGGACACATCCGTTTTCCGGTCCTTTGAATCCCACTGGGATCAACAGCTTCTTGAATATTGGAGTGAACATCCTGATAGAAGGTTGAATAAAGAAATATTTTCTCATGTATTCTCGCCAGTCTGGGGAAAGTGCAAGACCATTAATAATATCTGCAATGGTTTTAGATCAACTGGTATCTACCCGTTCAACAGAAATGCAATTCCTGGACATGCATTCGCCCCAAGTCTTCCAACTCATCGGGACCAAAATACTGTAGCTGAGAATAATAAAGAAAATGCCATGTTAATGGAAGAGCATTGGGATTCAGAAGATGATATTCCATTGATAACATTACTTAAGACAACTACAGATAATCCAACAGCACATTCCAGCACCAGCTCTGCTGATCATACTCCATCGCCAGATTTAGCTGAGAAAGGAGAAACTTCGCATCAAAACTCTTTCTCTGAAGTTTTAGTTAAACCTGATATGCAACCAATAAAAACCTCCACTCGGAAAAAGGCTTTGAATTATCGTGCTCAAGAGGTCAAAAGGCACGTATTTAAGTATCGTACTTCTGGACAAAAGGTTACCAATACCTCAAAAACAGGTTCGGTTGTGAAAAAGAAGTCCAGCCTTTCAGCTGCTGATGCAGTATGGATATGTTCTGTTTGCCTGCTAGACTATTTAGCCGCTATGAGAGCATGTTCATCTTGTGGTACTTGGGTTCACGAATAATGCGTAGGACTAACAGTTGAAGATACAGAAGCATTAGTTGCCCTGAATGCATGCCTTTAGGAAATTTTAAAAATCGGCCTTATTACCTGCTTCAAACTTTACTCGGTGGCCATATTGCCTGCCTATACTGGTAATAAGGCCAAAACAATTGGTTTTGTTTTTTTGCATTTGAATATTTAAAAAACTACTGTTTTCATTTTTTAGTAATGTTTTTTAAAAGAATAAATGTTGATTTATCTGTTGTATCTTACTGTGTAATAAAAATATTTTTAATTTGGTTATATAAAAATATTTTCGTTAACCCGGCCTTATTACCCAACAGTACCTTAAAGGTGTCAAATCTGGCGAGCGAGCTGGCCATTCCACAGGACCTCAATGGCCAATCCAACGACCGGGGAAATTGTTATCTAAATAATTCCTAACTTGTCTGTAGTAGTATATCAGTATCGAATTCATTAGGATTCGCTTCAACGATTTCGGTGATTAGAGGGTCAATAGTATTTTCCAGCACATCCAAATACAGTTCCCCGGTTAAATTTTATTCGATGAATAGAGGCCCCACAATATGATTTCCCAATATCCCAGCCCAAACGTTATTTTTTTGTGGATATTGAGTATGAGTTTCCCGGAAGACGTGAGACATGCAGTATGGTTTCCGGTACCAGCGATCCACAAGGGACGTCCTAGCTTACGTCACGCAATTGTGGACTAAGCTCATCCAGTCGATCAGCTGTGGCACGCTGCCCTCTTATGAAAACTTCCATCCTATGGCCTCCCAGAAAAGCTTTGCAGATGGGTGACTGACTTTCTGTCTGGCCGCAAGATATCCGTCGTAATTGACGGGCACATCTCTTCATCCCACAACGTCAACGCGGGTGTTCCCCAGGATCGGTCTTGGCTCCGACACTGTTCCTCTTACATATCAACAACCTACTTTCCTGCACGATCAACCCAATCCACAGCTTCAACAATCTTGTACAGTTTAATGCTTCCAAAACACAGTACTGTACCTTGACAAACAAAAAGCGCCATAGCGCTCATCCGGTTTCGATGGATGGCCGAGTTCTGCGAAAGAGCCTGTCATTTCGGCTGGTCGGAGTTCAGATCACCGCGGACTTGATCTAGCACGAACACATCTCGTCAATAGCGACAGCTGCTGGGAAAAAGCGAGGCTATTTGTTTAGGGCTAAGTACTTTTCTCCGCATGACCTTCTCATTCTATACAAGGCCCATATAAGGGCTAGCCTCGAGTATTGTTCACACGTTTGGGGTGCTACCGCCCCGAATACATTATTTATGCTCGAAGCTGTCCGACTAATCGATAAGTCTTCTCTAACAGACAGTATCGGGATCCTTTCGCACCGGCGCCGGCGGGCCGTCGGCGATACAGCTCTCTTCTACCGCTACACCAACGGGCTTTGCTCCTCAGAGCTCTCTTCCATGCTGCCGCCGCGCGATGTACCTGTCAGACAGACTCGCCTGACTTTGGCCTCCCATCGTAACCGTGTCGAACTTCATACGTCCAGAACTGGCCGATACGACTGCTCTTTTGCTCCGACTGTGTCGAGATTGTGGAACAATCTACAAGAAGAAGCTTTCACTAATACATAACATTGCGTGTGTTGATATTTCGGTGATACTCCAATCTTTTATGCACTTGTGAGAATCACTAGGCTGGAAATTTTACGCTCTTTTCATAAATGCAAAAATCCAATTTGTCAGCCATAAGAAAAAAGGAAGTTGAGGCAGGTTGCTGGAAAACAAAACACGTCTGAGACATGCCATATATGCTATCTTATTTTTCTTAAAAAAAATGTTCGAATAATGTCACATTTTGACAGCTGTCAAATTAACCGTTTTAGGCCCGTATCGTCAGTCGTCCCTACAATTGTAGGGCGCCTTTATGGCCTCCTTGATTGTCATAGTTTTCTGCTTCTCCGTGTCAGAACTCTATTTTGAGGTTATGTCACAAACATCTATTTGCATCAAATTGTGCTTGCTTTTGAGTTATATCATGTTTTATCAGCCTGAAATTTCTTACAATTTAAAAAGAACATATATCTTCACAATAGGAGAGCGCTGACGCTGACACGGGACAAGTGTAATAGGTACTGAAAAAGAAATTTTTGAAGGAGAGAAAGGAGGATGACAATCAAGGAGGCCATAAACGTGCCCTACAATTGTAGGGACGACTGACGATACGGGCCTTAGATTTACTGGCAAAAACCAAATTCCGCGATGTGTTCAACAAATTGACCGATTGTGAATCCGAAGCCGGCTATCGAAAGCACTTCCTCTAAAACTTTTCCCGTCCCTGTATACAGAAGCGAATCTGGGACACACTGTATATGGATTTTTTGTAAAAATATCCTGTCGAATTAGTAGAGCGTAAGCTGAAATGAATTTGGCACTGTTTGTGTGGGAAGTATCTAGTTAAACTACTTGATATGTTTTTTGATTGTGTATCCTTAAAAGCAATGATCTGACAGTCAGTACATAGTGATTGCAATTATGAGAATATTTCTGTAGACGAATATAATTTTGAAACATATACTTAACTGAATGCGAGAGCGTGAAGCGCCATCTATCGCACCAGAATCGAACCGTTGTGGATCGCGCACCGCTGCTATTAGTCGGTACTGTTATGTTAACATATACTTAACTGTTTCAGATTCTTCAAGAAATGTCCCAGATACCACAGTGGCACTGTATGCGATACAGAAAGTTTGAGCTAGTAAGAAGATGTAGAAGTTACAAAAATGGTGTAAGAAGGCCATAGACCAGTGTCACACTCCAAGACTGATTTTAATTATTAATAAGGTTTCAATGCCCATAAATGTACAATTACTTAGCTTTATCTTTAATTTTAAATAATAATTTTTTACAAAAATTGTTGACATTTAGATATACATTTTCTTTACTCTTCCACATATGTAAACATGTAAAAATTGAAAGTTATTTGTATATAAACTCAGTTCAACGCGTCAAGGGATGAAACTATTTGGAAAAACTTCAAGATACCTCGTGAAAATTATAGGAAGGCCCTAAAATGCGAAAAAATAAATAGTTACTCAAATTTGATCAACTAAGATAATATGAGTAAGACTGCGTGGAACATAGAAAACAATGAAAAGAAAAACAAAATCAATACTAGTAGGTACTCATTTATCTCCCAATGACTTCAATAACTTTTTCACGACAATGTGGGATCCAATCTTGGGCACGCTTCCTATGTCCTATGTTGATCCTGATGTTTTCCTGAATAAGATTCCCAAGCCACAGTTTTCCTTCTTTATGTCTGCACTACTTTCCCATGATGTCGGAAGGGCGATATTATTTATGAAGGAATCACCTTCGATGGATTGTTATGGACTCAATAGAGCCATTATCAAGGCGTCTGTTGATATCATAGCGAAAGCTTTGGCACTCTTGTATAATAAATGTATACGCGAGGGTGTTTGGCCGGATGTATTGAAAATTGTGAAAATCTTTCTGATTATTGTAGATCTAACCTATCTGTAGCAAAATTTGGATTTCGAAAAAATTCAACCACAATAAAAGCACTACTCACCTTATTAGAGGAAGTTCTGGATAATATAGTAGATAGTTCTAATACTTAGCTACTATGTGTGACTTAACGAAAGTACTTGATTGTGTCAATTCAAATACAGATAAATTAATTTATCACTGACGTTGTAATGTGTACGAAAGATAAGTGCGAGAAGCATGCTATACGTCTGTTAGAACGTTGCCTAGCAACCCGAGTGACGGACGCAGCTGCGACATGCCGCGTTGCCATTGGCGCACTCTTCCTAACATACATATTGCAAGATTCTCGTACACATTGCTTCGTCAAGTGATATTTGGATTTCTCTGTATACTACTGACAAAACAAAACTAGAATACTATGGCATAAGAAATACCGAGCTAGCGCTATTTCGTTCGTATCAGTCAAATAGGAAGCAGTATGTAAGCTATGTAGGTACCACCTGCCTATTTACTTGGGTCTCTACAATTTCTAAAATTACATTTTCCTCTGACAGGTGGGTTGTGAAATCTGAACCAGTAAAATGTCTAGGAATAGTGCTCGATACCAGATCAAACTGGAAATCCCACATTGATTATTTACAGTGTAGACTGTCTACACAATTATTTGATCTTAAGCAGATGCCTCGATAACCATACCCTGCGGGTCTTGTTCTTCAGCATGTTTCATAGTCACATAACAAATGATGTCTAGCAAAATTTTCATTTTACAAAAAACAGCTTCAAGGATAATTACAAATTCCAGTTATAGATCATCGTGCACAAATTACTTCAATAATCTACAAATATTTCCACTTTTCCAATTTATATTTTTGAAGTACTACATTATCAGCACAGAAGTCTTAACAAATATAAAGCTTCTGCAGAAATACACATCCATGCACTACGTAATGTTAATTACCTAAGGAATTCATACTCGCGACTGAACATGACTAAAAATAATAGAGCTAACGTTAAGTTTTATAATTTAATTCATTAAGTCAATGTCAATATTTTAATTATGTCTAATCACAGCTTCTCAAAGTTTGTTAAAAAACATTGCTTAACCCTGTTTCTATTTAGTTGATCAGTACGTTGATGCTATGACGTCACTCGGATAGATAATAAAATATTTGGTAAGACCTCACATGTACAAGGTGGCCAACTAAGAATGCGCGGTACTGTATCTGGGAACCTATCCATCGTAGAGGCTTGCGTGCGGCAAAACAAAGAAATTCTTACTAAAACGGTCAAGAGGAAAACCGGGAAAATATTCTGAAACTCTTTTTACTATTGCAAAATTCTGATGACATTCAAAATAAACTGCGTATCAACAGCTTCATCGTTCGTACAACGAAATTGGTAAGCACAAAAATTGCTGAAAGTAACACGAAACTATTGACAACTATTAACAATTTGAGGATTATTTATGTTTTGATTAGGTATTTGTTTTGTAGTATTCTATGGCCTGCTTCTATTATCTTTTCATGTGAATTATGTATTTAAACAAAAACTATGCCTTTTGTTTAGAGATATTTTGTAATATTTTCAAAAGGGGTGATTTTCTTCTGATGAATGAAAAAGAATTCCAGAAAAAATAGTTGAAAAAAAATAAAAACGATTCAGATTATCCTCGAATTTGAAGATCAGGTATTTTTTATGGGTTAGTACGCCCGAATTCACAGAAACATCATTTTTTTAGATTCAAGATTGCAGTTACGCCCCTAGCCATTTCAGGATCTTGAAAATATTTTACAGGTTTTTATCTCGGCCGTTTTAGTAACAACTATTTTTGCGCAAGCCTGTACGATGGATAGGTTCAGTACTGTACATTTGATATACATAATGTGGCCAATTAATGGTATGGTATACACCACTCAAGGAAATATAAATAAATGCTTATTAGATACACTAACTGACTATAATGTAATGACAAGATTACATAATAATCATCCTCTCAAATGTGGTCGACTACAAGCAACTGGAAATGACAATCGGCAAAAGGCTGGCAATTGTGCCAATTAAATGAGTGAGCAGATATGGGCCCAAATCTAATCAACAGCGTGGCGAATAGTGTGGAGAAATGTCAAGAAATATTAAAATACAAGTGCTTCCTATTTTTGACCCTCCAGATTAGAACTACAATACCTATGATTATGAGACTTGGTACTGTGTTCAGATGCAGAAAATCTTGAAACTCTAAAATCGTCTTCAACTGTAGATGATTTAATAAAAAAAGTTTTCTGCAAAATATAGTGTGAAGTAGATTGACTCGGTACTTCCCATGCATTCACATATGCCTATTTTCAAATTTTCTACAAGTCAAAACCATAATCCTCGGTAAAGTACCAAAAATTTTGTGCTCCGTTATAACGTTTTTGATTAGGCTCTAAGCTGAAGTAACGAAACGATGAAAACAAATTTACTACCGCTTTCATGAAAACAAATTGAATACAGCTGTCATTCAAAAATGGAATAGCATTACCTACTACGTCCATGCTGCCAAAATTCATCCAAATCGGTGCAGCCGTTTCCGAGAGTAAAATAAGTCAACAAACAGAAAGATCGACGAAATAAGTGATATGGAACTAGTTGTAAAAACATGTTTATTTCTTTTGTCAGAAATATTTGCCTCGAATTGGGTGGGGCTCTCATACAAATTTTGATATAATCAAAGGTTGTTAATGTGACTTTTGTCTGACCACAACATGTGATGTAAAGACTGAAGATATGCAGGCTGCAGAGTAGAATATTAGTTTTTGGTGCATGTCTGGATTCTCTCACTTATAAAAGCCTCTTATTTTTGACGTCAAATGTCTGTGCACGTTTTCCCATACTAAAATATTTCTATTTATCTCGTACTCCTTCATAAATAAAAAGCATAATATGTTCATCACTGTGGATTTGTGAAGTGTTTTATTAAATATTTATTACTAGGCTACATGGGCGTCCCCAGCTCAAAACGGAAGGGGAGCACCATAAAAAAATTTTTGGTGGAAGTTCCGCAAATCATATCTACATGCTTGATATCTGTCTTTCTATTTGCATTTCATTTATACAGAGTCTTCCACGATGATTTGACAATTCAAAACTTCAAGGATTGCTTTTTTGAAACTTTAAGCAAACATTGCGCGAGATGCTTTTTTAAGTAATATTTGAAGTTGCAATACTTGAAAGCAACACTTGAGAATGTATATGAGATATACCCAAAAATAGTTATATAGAATATGTAGGCGGATATGTACCAAGTTTGCTCCAGAATGATATTTATCATATTGTCTCGTGTAATCTCCGAAACAGTAAGAGATACAGGTAGGTTGAATGGTAGCAATATGCGTATTTACATATTTTAGAAAATGCATTTGAAAAGGTTTGACGCTTCCAATATCTCCAGCGATACACGGAAAAGGAAACGAATTTTCCCAACAACGTTTCTATTTTTTCTCAGCTTATTTGATATAGGATTTAAAAATGAACTGTTCAAAATAAACTGCACATTGGCATTGCCACTTTTTGACCTCATTTTCCCTTATTAACAATATTCCCCTTTATCTCGTACTCGTCCATAAATAAAAATCAAAATATGTTCATCACTGCGAATCTGTGAGGTATTTTATTAAATATTTGTTACCAAGCTACTAAATAAATAAAAGCAGTTATCAAAACCTATTAGACAGTTCAAAAATCGGATTAACAAAGTTTCTTCAAGCTGCTCATGGCAGCCGCGGTGTCCGGGCATTGTAAAAAAACCTTTAAATAGATTTCTGATACTCATATTTGTTCAGTAAGTTACTTGGAGTATTTAAAGAGCAAATAAGAAATGTGTTTCAGGAATTGGACCTCCAAAATTTAGTTTCCCAGCTTGCGGAGTGTGAACACGCCTCATCACCTCTCTTATCTCATTTACTGTAATCTGTGGTTGACTACTATGTACCTTACTATAGTCGGGGTTGTCTTCTTGAAACTGATGCTTCCCATTGAACATTGTTGCTGTGTAATAGGAACCTGGGATGTGGTCAAAGGGGTTGCTTCCACTTTTAGTATCCATTCTCACTAAAACAGGAAAGTTGATCAAGTTACACTATCGCTAAAAAGATTCTGCACTCTTGACGGGACGATAAATGGAAGGAAGATCACAGAGATGAATAATATTTTAATATTACACGATTATTGTTTATATTACTCCTTAGGGTGATATGTACCTAAAATAATGACACTAAATGAGTTTACAGCACAAATTACAACTACACATCTTTTTAGTAAAAATATCATGTTTTCACTTCCACAAGTTTATTTATTTACAGTTTCCCATTACATACAAAAAGCATTACCTTTATGTGTCAGTTTACAATAGCTTTATGTATATATATTATTATTAAACTAAAGAAGAACCAAAGATTCATTTGACACCCAATCGACTTATACTTGAAACCTAACAAACTACTAACTGAAGTTAAATACATACATTTTTAATGTGCTTTTTGATGTGTTTAATATTGCTACTGAAAATATTTAAATTTTAGTTTACAGCAGCAATGTCAGATCTAAGACATTCTGGTTCATTCGTACTGTAAGTTGTAGAATGATGTGGAATAATAACACTTCTATATAGCGAGTTCGTCTTTCATTAACATTGAGATTTACTTGTGGAAGCATCTCTGGGCAATCTATGACTCCATTAGCTATTTTAAACAGAAAACAAATCAAAAATTTCCCTGCAGTGTTTCAAGGAATGGATGTTCAATGTACCTATCAGTTCTGAATCATTCTGACTCCGACCCATTTTAATAGCTGCCTGTTTTTAAAATTCACTTTGCACTGCTTCAATTTAATGATCATACCACTGTGTTGTACTTCATAATACTTCCTATCAAAGAGCAATATAAAATGCGAAAAACTTCTAGAGAGAATGTTTCGTAGATCTAAAAATGTATCCCAATATTTTATATGAATTAGAAGTAATTTCTCTAATATGTGTTTCAAAAATTAATTTTGGTTCAAAAGTTATACCTAAATCGCTAACTGAATCAGTTCTCATGAGGTCATGGTTTTCAACTGTATACCTGTTGATACATGAGAGAATTTGAACTATGGCTGGAGCTGATCTGGTAGCACTTGTTCAAATTGATGTTGATCTTATTAGCATCACACTACCGAGTAAGATTTATGAGACACCACAACTGCAAACCAGGGATTTCCCTATTCTCAACCCCCAATCTCAATCCGATCGAATTTCTTTGGAATGAACCTGATCAGGCATTCATAAAATAGTGCCCAACTCACAAAAAGTGCTCTGAAACAATGTGGAAGACACAGGAGCTAAACATATTCTTGAAAAGTGTCTCATTAGAATGCCACCAAGAATCATAAATGTGGATTGTTTGACCAAAAAGATGTGTAAATAAAGCTTATGTAGCAAATGTTTTTGCTAAATGGCCTAGCTTCTATTTGTTGTTTCAATTCATCAACCATAAATTATCCAGAAACGTTTGAATGGTAGGTATGTCATTTCTGTAACTTATTGTCTCTTTCATCTGCTGTTCCAAATTTTATTGTTTGAACAATAATTCAAATTTGGAAAAGCAGGTTTTCTATCATAAATTGTAATTGGTGCAGTACCTATTTCCATAGACATATCAACCATCATGTGTAAGCCCATGCTTGAGGAATGTGGCAAAATAAAGAACCTCTTAAAGGAACAACAAACAATGCAAGCTTATATATATATATATATATATATATATATTAGCATGCATTGTTTGTTGTTCCTCTAAGAGGTTCTTTATTTTGCCACATTCCTTATATATATAACGTATATTAGCTTGCATTGTTTGTTGTTCCTTTAAGAGGTTCTTTATTTTACCACATTCCTTCATACATATATATATATATATATATATAACAAGTAGGAAAATAATGGGCAAAATCCGCAAAAAGGAGGAAAGTGGATTCGAGCAGGCCCGAAATGAATGGACATATGAAACTACAAAAGTAGATACACATGCCCACACATCCGGATACGGGTGTAACCTGAGGAAACGAAGTTGGAGGGGAAAAAAAACGACACACGAAGTCCACAACAAGAGCCAACCTACACATTGTAGTATAAAATGGCTATACGACCTCGAGTTTTCAAGGAGACGTCTAACCACCACCACGCGGCCGGTTATAGCCACTTGCCGTGGTACTTGTGTACATGTGTATCTATCATATGATGAAGCCAACCAGCAGAAATACGTATCGCTCGGGTTACCTATCCTATTTTCTGCTCGAATCCACTTTCCTCCTTTTTGCGGATTTTGCCCATTATTTTCCTACTTGTTGTTATATACTTTTCTCTGCATGATCATATTCTCTTTATATATCTATATATATATATTTTATAGTGACACAGCCATGCAGGCAATTACCCAGGTAACTCAGATACTGTGACTGCTAAAAGCTGTGAAACTATTTGATCTTATTTGTGAGCTGCCTAAGGTCAGTAGAACTGGAGAAATGTCCTTGGGCAGATTTTTCCACTCTAGGAATAAAGGATCTATCCTGTTGGCCAGTTCTTGATGCTCAGAGGTCTGGTGGATTTGCATGAAAGAAAGCTCAGAGCAAAGTCTGTTAGCACACCAATAGGAGAGAGACAAACCACCAGCTAGTTATTGCTAGCAACTGTCAAGGATGTGTCACAGATCAACTGGATATTCCTCCTCTGAACAGTATCAAGTATGGACAGAGTAGACTGAGCAACAGCGCCCCAGACACGTGAGCAGTACTACAAACTCAGCACCCATGACATGTGAGCAGTACTACAGACTGAGCACCCCAAACATTGAGCAGTACTACAGACTGGGTCTTGTACAAAGTAAGGAGGTATGTGGAAACAGACCAGAAAGGCTGCCCTTCCATCTAGGCAAACAGTCATCTCTCTTATCATTGTGAATAAGGGATCCTCTTTAAATAGGGCCTCAAGGCCAAGGCATAACAATCAAAGCATTTAACATGTGTGCCAAAAGAGGGTTTCATAAAGTTCTATTTAACTTCACTGCAAGCAGTTTGAGAAAAAAGTGGAAAAGTTCGCTCAAGATATCCTTTTGATGGAATATTCAAATATGATCATCTTGATATAAAGAAATAATAAAACTAGAAATGTTGGCAAACAGATACTGTGAATTACCTAATAATGCATAGTCAACTATTTCTGCTATAGTCTGATATGCATAATATGCTAATACATCTAATGCTTCTCCTTTGAAGTTAATTTCCTTTTTAGGGTCAACCCACAGCCTAAGTTTCTCTAAGCTCCTCTGAATTGTGTAATTGCTGGTGAAGGACCTACATCTAGCCTTACAAAACTCTAAATATCTTTTTTCATCTAATGCTTGTGATATCCTATCTGCTCTCAACTGCCTTTCCAACTTTACTTCATCAAACTCTGTTAAGTCAGTGAATTCTCCTGTCTCATCTATCCTTTCTATAAACTCCATTAAGGGTCCTTTGGGTGTATCAACTAGTTGGATAGTGCTAGACCCTACTGGTTGCTGAAGTATCATTTTATTTTGCTTGTTTCGTAAGTATGTAACAAACCTTCTCATTTTTTGCTTACTATGTCGCATCAAAAACACGAGTTCCTCTCCGCCTAGGTTCTTTCCATCACTATACTTAAGTGCCTCTTGAATCAATGTTCTTAGTTGCTTCAATAAGATGCTTTCCACAAGACGCACAGTATCTGGATTCGGAGAATGACTATCTCCAAATCCAAACATCATTTGTGAAATTTCGCTGTAATATGTGATTTTGCCAAATTCCATCATATTTTAAATAAAATAGTACCTAAATTTAACTTTAAACCACCTTCCAAAAGTCAAAGCACCTTCTTTTAAGTAACAAATCTGGAATAGTAGTTTTCCTTAAAGATTGTTCAAAAAATTAATAAAGACGGTTTGTTAATATTTTCGGTTTGAGTTTTCCCCCTACCCCCCAGTCTTATGTGTTCTGTGCCCTTCCCAGACTCGTTACACCCACCGTTACACCAAACGTTCCAGTTACCACTGTTACCAGAATGGGCAACCACAAAACATGCACGGAGTACGGAATTCCCAGTATCCCATATGATTCCTGTCATAAAACTGAACACTGAACGTTTGTGCTGCATGTTAGGTCACAGGTGAATGTTATGTAGAGTTGGAATGATAGTACTAGACAGGATTCATAATTTCAAATCCACCAAAATGTATAAAGTAAATTATTAATGTGAGCATTGTGAGTAGACGGATGATGGCAATACTAGCATAAGGAACACTTGCGGCGTGCGGATGATGAAATGTTTTCAGCAAAATTATCATATCGCCAGCGAATCAAGTGTCCATTGATTGACGTCTATTTGCGATGCGAAAAGTTCATTCAGCTTCCTGTCATGTTTGGCAGAATACTTGACGTTGACAGTGATGTTGACGCATTTTGTCAGTGACATTTCTCTTCACGATCAAAAATGTCGCCTCTGTGGAATTTGCTTTGCCATTACCAGCCATGTTGACCTGTATGAATAACATTTTCCAATTTTTGTACGTGAATTTGTGTGAATAGGGTCGCCAAAGGAACATTATGCCCAGGTGCGATGTGAAAACCAGATACATACCGGCTACGTTTGCTTGGACCTTACTCATTGTCGCTACAACATTATTTTTCTACTATCCGTAAGTTATTTCCGTGGTGTTTATGTTCCAAATTTAGACGACCTGTTACGTTTTCTAGGGCCCAATACTATATTCCAAAACACCCATGGGTACCGGCATATCAAGGTGTGATCACGTTTTTTGTCTTAGCAAATTTTACCCTTGCAACATTTATGGACCCAGGGATCATACCCAAAGGTAGGCATTGGAATCGGCTGATTTTAGATAGGTGTTCATTTCCAAATAATTTAATTTCAGCTCCACCTGACGAAGATAGAGAAGATGACTTTAGAGCCCCTCTTTATAAAAATGTAGATATTAATGGTATTACTGTACGCATGAAATGGTGTGTGACTTGTAAATTCTATAGACCACCAAGATGTTCACATTGTAGTGTTTGTAATCACTGTATAGAGGTAAGAGCCTTAATCATAATAACTTATTAGAATGATGAATGAGAACAGTAATGACTGAATCAAACATGGGTGGGGTAATTGGGTAATGTTCAGTCAAATGTGAAAAGAAAGTATATACATTAATAATTTTGCACATGGAGTGAGTAACTGTTTAAAAAATCGAAACATACAACCATTCTGTTATATGACCATGCAATAAATGATCAATTAAAAGAAATATAATACTGGCAAGATATGTACAAGTTTTGTATTTTGTAATATTACAGGGTGTGTGGAGACAGAAATTACACCTTATTTAAAATTGTTTGTAATTAAAAAAAGATACTATTTTTAGAGCAAGAGATACCTTAAAATGCAATAAATAAGCTTCCATACATATAAATCTTAATGATGTAGAAATTCACAACACTGTAATCAGCAATGGGCATTTTTGTAGCTATTTATATAAAAGCTTTTATGTTCTTCAGATTGTCAGTATTTATAAAAATTTAATTTACAATATACTTATCAACAAAAAGCTTTATAAATAATGGTCCTTTGAAGAACATTAACTGAAAAATGTACATCAATTCCAAGTTTGAAACTACAGTGGTGATATTTTTCAGTGTACCTTCTGATGGTTATGTTAGCTTTTATTTAATTATTTGTTTAAAGATCTGTGGTGGCAGTATTAATATTTCACTATGTAAAGCCTGTTGCTTTATAAAAAATGGAGTAGCTTTTAAAAAAAAATCTCCACCCTGCACTCTTCATCTTTGCTGCCAAGCTGTTAAAACATTGTTAGTCTAAGGATTAACCTTCTCACCAATGCTTGGAAAACAGTTTGTATACTCTGCTATTCACAACATCTTGTTTTGATGTCTAGTGATGTGAACAGCTGATCAGCAAGTGACATTTTTGTTTTAAAGTCTGTACTGTTGGCATTCTTGGAGCTGGTGGAGCTATCTATGCACAATACAGGTCAGAAAAATTGAAGAATACAGGTTGTGGAGACTCACTTTTTTCTATCCATTCCACTTTTATAAATTTTTTATTGAAAATCTTTGTTTTTCCCACTATTTGTGATTGTGATCTCACAGTACATATTGTAGTTTATGAACATTTTCAGAGCAGCTGCCCCCCTTCTCTCAAGTCTGACAAAATTAAATGGAGAGAATATTTTTTATAAAAAATAATTAGGACAGTTCATATATAGGGTTTTCCCAAGCTGAATCAGTAGGTATTATACAAGAAATTCCTAGACTATGTTGAAATTTAACTTTGCTAAGAGCACAATATATGTACCAGGTATTTCAAATTTGACCCTTGCCATTGGTATCTGGGAAATGGTAAGCAATACAATACAAAGTTCTCTATAGTGGCAAAGTTGGGTTCTTAGATTTCTGGATATAGGTGGAAAACCTGAATTTACCTTAAATCCTTTTCATTTTTTACTTACTTAATTTGAGGTGGAATTTCATATACTGTTTAATTGTTATTAACAGTGGGTTGACCTGTTAGTATGCTAGTTAGTGTGTTAGTTCATGTTGGTCTCATATGTATGTATGTATTATGTGTGGGACAAATCTTGGATCTCGATTTTGAACCAGTTAATCTTAACCAATTAAGCTGAAACTTTGTATGTATGCTTGGTTCGCGTGAAAATGCAAAACAATTAACTGCCGCCATTTTGAATCCAATATGGCATATGCTACAAAATGGCAATTTATCATTTCCACAGTAACTCTTATGGGTATCAAATGAAAGGTCCTGATAAATAAAAAAACAATAAGCATAGTATGTTAAAATTTCTGTTTATTGTACAACATTTTGACCTCCACTGTGGCATTTTTCATGTACATTTAACAATTCTGTGACAATATATTTTCTTTATCTATCTTCCAGGTGATATTTTGTTTCTATTTTCCTTTTTACATTCCTATATGTGAATAAATTATTACTATCATTATACATAGTGACATCATTCCAAATTAAATATGGCTGCAGCCGCAAAATGGCGATTTATAATTTCCATAATCACCACTATGATATGGGTACCAAATGAAAGTACTTGACAGGGGAAACACAATAATTATCCAACATCACGTCATTCATGCATATTATAGGTATCAAATGAAAGGGCTTAATGAGAGAAACATAATAAGCAAAGTTGCGTCATTCCCACTTCAATATAGCAGAAGTCTAATATGACAATTCAACATTATACACTATTCTTTTGAAGATTTTACATAAATTAATGCTTAGGTACGCCAACACTGTGTAGTTGTGTGAAACAGAAGCGATATATAAATGTATCTTGCATGTTACGCCAACCTTTGGATGTTTGCACTATTCACTACACGTGGTCTATGTCTGGTCTCATGAACACTGCAGAGTCCAAATTCTGTACTATTCATGACTTTCTACAATAGTTGCATTTTGCTAATTTCTAACTCTAGAATAAGCTGAGTAATGCTGATTCAGGGGATCTAACCTCTATCAACTTTTTCATAAACTCCCACACATTATGGACTATTTTTAAGGTAGTTTCATTACACTGTAGGCGAATGTCACATGATCAGTATTTATTGGATCTATACCATTCATTGATGGTTGGTTCTGTCAGTGTCAGTGCATTTTTATATAACCTTATACATAAATTATTACTGACATCCAGGCTACATGGTTAATAAATATCACATTCTATGGCAAATACTGACAGATCACAGTAAATACTGATCGTGTGACATTCTCCCTAGTCATGTTCTTCAAGTGCTACAAAGTACAGTTGGTGAACTTAGTTAAATATGTATTTTGTTTTATTCTTACCAGATTTGAAATACAGGTTTGATGTTTAGGAGCCATATTGTAGGGGTCGAAACTTTTCTAAATAACTTCTCAGATTTGGGTATTTTGAATGTCACCAGATAATTAGATTACTCAAGAGAATAAGTTCTGTTATGTCGAAAATTGGTTCATTTATATTGATTATTTTTTTCAGACTTTTGACCATCATTGTCCCTGGGTGAATAATTGCATTGGAAGGAGGAACTATAGGTTTTTCTTTTTCTTCCTGATATCACTTAGTCTACATATGATTAGTATTTTCACACTGAGCTTGATATATATTCTCAAGTGTGGTGATGACTATACTAAACCTCAATCAATTGTGGCGTATCCTTTTTTATTTTTATTGTTGCATATCAGTGCAAATGTTGAAGTGATAATATATTATATTCCTTTGTACACTGGAAACCAAATATCTGTCTTGTCAGTCATGTAATATGCGTGTTAGAGAGAGATAGAAGCAACTCATCGCCTAGCAACCCGATTGACGAGGCCACGGACGCCATCGACGCACTCTTTCTAACATATTGGATGCTTCTTTCTCGTACATATTACAATGTCAGCCAAATTTGAACCTCACCGTATGTTGTCATTGCCAATAAAAAGTGATTTAAATGGTTAATATTCTCATTTTTTTAAGGATGACAAAATAATAAAATAGGTAATTGTGGAACTTATAGTTGTGGTGAGATAAGGTAGTTAGTCACTTGTTATAAATAGTAGTAGTTAAATCATTGTTTTTTACGAGATACATTTATAAGTTTTCCAAATTGAACTAATATTCATATATGCCAGTAGCTTCCTATGTTGATTATAATAATTATGAGAAACATAGGATCTGAATTTCAAGTGTTTAATTGAGACTATACTTTCATATTGTTTTCCTTAATTTTGTATTTAGCATGGTGTTGATGGCTTTAATAGCCCTGTTAGCAATTCCAATCTTTGGTCTAACTGGTTTTCATATGGTTCTTGTATCTCGAGGAAGAACTACAAATGAACAGGTCACTGGCAAGTTCAAGGGAGGATACAATCCATTCTCAAGAGGATGTTGGCATAATTGCTGTTACACTCAGTTTGGTCCCCAGTTTCCAAGGTATGGTATTTGAGTCATCTTTTCATATTTTTTATATAAACTTATTACTTGCTCAAAGTGGTTTGAAATAAATCTGGGCAAAGCAAAATATCAGCGACACTGAAAAAATTTCAAGATTAGATGCGAGGACAAAAGTAGTTGATACTAAATACCTAAGGATAATGTAATGTTGATTAAATGTTCTGTTCTACATGGTAGTTTTATTATTTTTTGACTGCTGGTGAATAGTTAAGATAATACTGGAATTGTTTTTTTAGCTTAGTGAAGCCCCACAAGTATAATCCAAAAAGGAAACATTGTTCTCATGGTCCAATAGCTACTATAGCTAATGATAGTCAAGTGAAAACTTACATGGATAACAGTAATGGTATTAGAAATATAAACTCAAATGCTTACAATAAGGTGAGTATCTTATTTACTAAGGCCCGTATCGTCAGTCGTCCCTACAATTGTTGGGCGCGTTTATGGCCTCCTTGATTGCCATACTCCTTTCTCTCCTTCAAAAATTTCTTGATTACACTTGTCCCGTGTCAGCGTCAGCGCTCTCCTATTGTAAAGATATGTTTTCTTTTTATATATATATATATATATATATATATATTTGTAGGAAATTTCAGGCTGATAAAACATTATGTAACTCAGAAGCAAGCACATTTTGATGCAAATAGATGTTTGTGACATAACCTCAAAATAGAGCGCTGACACGGAGAAGTAGAAAACTATGACAATCAAGGAGGCCATAAAGGCGCCCTACAGTTGTAGGGATGACTGACGATACGGGCCTAAGTCAATTTAAAGAGTTTTTCAAAAGTAAAGTTTAGAATTTGGACATTGTTTACATAACAGGGAAAACTAAATTTGTCTGATAGCTTGTGTTCAACGTTCACGAGAGAGATATTTTCAACATGCATCTTAATTCAAGGAACTGGTGTAACATAATGGCAACGCGGCTGATTGCCGTGTCAGTGATGCTAGGCAACGCCGTGATGAGCTTCGGTATCCAGCCGGCTTCTATCTCTTTCTAACATATGTGTCTATACTCAATTTGGTTCTCAACAACAACAAAGTAACTCCATTCTAGTGAAAGCAAGGTTCTGTTTACTGGCAATTAGCGCTGAAATTTTGTTTTCACCAAATGCATCCAGATTGCCACCTGACCTCAATCCAATTTCTATTTTGGTTGTGAGGTTTATAACTGTATGAAAACAGAAGTTATTTATAAGACCTGCGAGTTGTCCCGAGCTGATCAACTTTATAGACCTTACGCGGAAGATTACATGATTTAATGTAGTGTCAAAAGAGAATTGTCACTTCGAAATTCAAATTTTTTTAACCTCAAATAACCATGCCACTTCTGTCATACCCTGCAAACTCCGCCTTAAGGTCTGTTGACACCAAGTAATATTATTTTCGCTGACTGGGAAGTAAACATAGAAAAATGCAATCACTTCCATGAACACAAGTATGAATCACTACAAGAAGCCAGAATAGAATACAGTGTTAGACAATCCTCCTCTCTCAACAAGACCTTATCTACAGCTCCGTACAAAGTACAGGACAAATTAATACAATCATATAAGTTGATTATGACAAATACTTACTAACTGAAAAACGAGCACAGGAAAATATGAAAAATAATAAAGCTACGGGCCCTAAAGGCTTGCCTATACAACTTGTGAAGCACTCGCCTGAAATTATATTAGAGTATGTGGCTGTGTTGTCCACAGAATTCATCAAGAGAAGAGATACTGTAGGAATGAGAAACAGCACACAAAAAAGTGGACAGGAAGAAATGTGAAAATTGCAGTGTTACTTTTTCTATTGGTCGGCTGTATGGAAGAATTCTAAGATATATTGGAAGTAATGTTGAAGATATTGAAGAACAGCGGATTTTGAATCGGTCGGTCCCGGATCGACAATCTCTTCTGTCTTAAACAGCTACGATAGCGTGCCTATTTAGATGTTGTGGAAAGCAATGGGAGACAACAATGGTCCTAAACCGTACATAAATGCAATGACAATATTATACCAGAACAGCAGCTATGTTGAGACGAAGCCAGGCATATCTGAAGGTTTTTTAGCCAACACAGGACTTTGTCAGGTTTGCTGCTCGTCTCCAACACTTTTTGAACTTGCCAATGAAGCGGTGTTCGAAAAATGCAGCCAAATGAAATAATAATAATGAACTTCAATTTTGTTTACCACCCTCCAAAATTGAGGGATGGAAGAGATGTTTCACAAAAAAAAAAGAATTTAAATCTGTTTCCATTGATTTCTAATTAGCTCTGTTAAAAAGTGACAAACCATTGCTAAAACTAACCATTTAGCTCATCTGAAAGCCCTAAAACCTAATGGTTTAGTTGTAATTGCGATTGGAAGTTTATTATCCCGTTTTTTTCGAAGTTCCACAAAATTGCAAATATAAAATTTCGGACCACACATAAGGAGTTCATTCGATATGTTTTGAGGCCCACATTATATAATAAAGCTTTGATTATCTAATTTGTTTTTTTTTATCTTTACGAAAGCAAGGCACTCTAGGAAAAAACAAGAGTAATTATTTGTAGCAAATTGAAGGTAAAATTCGTAAAATTGCGCGTTTCGAAACAAAAAAACAGTTGCGTACTATTTTTATTTTGAAAAATAATGCCACTAATCCCCTGTATATCCGCCAATGGTGCATGTTAATTTTAAGTAAAGACTTTTGAATATGAACAATACTTAAGTAAATCCACATACCAAATTTTAGTTCATTCCAGTTGACGGTTTTGAAGATATTAAAAATTTTTTAAACTTCAACACATCTTTTTAATGAAGCCCTCGAGGAAAAAATGTTACATAGAAGACCCCCCTTTAAATGCGGTCCTTTGTATGATGTTTCATTTTTGGTCACGACTTGTGAATTACCCCTATACGTATATATATATACACCTTGGGAAAAACCATTATTATACATTATAATGAGGAAGAGAGATGGAAATATACAAAAGTATGTAGGTGCGTGAAAGACACTCGATTGTAGGATCCCATCTGGCAGCGTCGGAGTGTGACGGACAACGGGGTAAAGTAGAAGAGTGATAAAAGAGAGAGATGGCAGAACGGGCGCTGGCGCCTACCGCTTAGACGGATGCGCTCAACAAATGCGATTTGTTTCTCCCATTCGCAGAGTTGCCGATACCAACATGTCATATTTCTAAGAAATCTAAGTCTACCCAAATTTCGGGAAAAATAGCTGCGGATTCCACATAAGAGTATTCCAAAAATGAAAAAGGTTCAAACTATTAAAATTGTATTAATGTTTCATGGTTCAAATCATATTTTTCATGTTTGTATATTGTTGTATAAATGATTTTGTAATCCCTATTCCTGTTGCCAGTAGAGATACAACAGTATTGAGTGAAATCATGGACCGCTAGATAGGGCTACAACTACCATATGACTATCAAATAGTAGTGATAAACAGGGTTTGTTTATAGCACAGTTGCCTGGTGTGGCGAATTTGCGCCATAGGGGCGATTTGACAACTTTGAAGGACAACTATAACGGTGACTATGGTGCCCGGTATTCGGGAATCTGGCAATACCTGATGATTCCTAACGTTTATTACGCCAGATTGTTTGCTGACTTGCGCAGTACAACATGACAATCAACGTGACTGAGCACCTGGTAACCCTGGTTTAAGGTGTTATATTTAAAGAGCTTGGGGCAGTTAGGTATCTAGGTCACATTTTTTTAATGTATTTCGAGAAATCCGTAATGTTGAGTAAATACTAGATCACGTTTCTTGCTTAGTTTGCTGAAAATTCTACAATAGACGTACATTTTGAGAAACAGAGATTTGGTGACGACAAAATCGTAAAAATATAACGCATTTTCGTAAAATAATTTCTTTGTTGATGACCCATTGAACGAGTATAGTGTCCCGCTCCGCTTTGAATATTCGGAACACTATACTCTAGCAGCATTCAGCTTCAATGTTATCTTTATGAAGTTCTAACGTCTAGGCCATGCTGATTAAAAGCTTGAATGAATCAACACTTAACTCTAAATTCCCCACAATTCGGGAAGCTCTACTCAAATTAGCAACACAGCGTATCTGCCTATTATTCTCATTCGTGATACAGGTCTGCGGTTAACGGTAGGAAATATGTACGAATAGCGATGAAAGTATAGTGGATACCAAATAAAACCCGATGCACGTCATGGATCTGGAGCTGTGCGCTGTTGCCAGAATTTGCACATTTTCTTTTAAGCAAATAAATTTAATAAAATAAATTGTTTATATATACCTACCATTTACTATAATACCATTATATTAAAAATAAATAAACTTGTTGTAAAATTAAATTCCTTTCTGAATAAAAACACCTGATTTTGGTAGATATTCAATGATATGAGCTCTTTACACCGACTGTTAAGTTGTTTGGGCATTTTGGATACTTTACACCACTTCACAGTAACTGTTGTTCTGAAAAGAACAATTTTTAATTGGCAAGGCAACGATTCAAAGCTCAAATAGCGCAAAACTCACAAACTAAACAATAAAGGACTAATAGTACGACAAAAGGACAATGGCAACTGATGTCAACAAATGAGAAGTGGCAACCTCACATTTCTCTGCACGGCACTACCAACCGAATCGAGACGGGGAAATTTAAAACTTCAAGTAGAAATGTCACATTGAATGTAGTCAACTGTTGGTAACCATGATTTTTATGAATGACATCACCTATGACGTGCATCGGATTTTATTTGGTATCCACTATAGACGAGCCAATGCGCTGTTGCCAAGAAATGATTTCCCATGTATAACAATGGTTTTTCCTAAGGTGTATATATATATAATGTACTAAATCCGCAAAAAGGAGGAAAGTCGATTCGATCATACAATAGGATAGGTAACCCGAGCAATACGTATTTCTGCATGTTGGCTTCAAGAGGACCGAAACGAATGCACATATGTAACTACAAAAGTAGACAAACATGCCCATACATTCGGATATGGGTGTAACCTGAGGGAAAAAAATGACACACGAAGTCCACAACAAGAGCCAACCTACACATTGTAGTATAAAATGCCTAGAAGACCTCGAATTTTCAAGGCAACAACTAACCACAACCACGCGGCTGGTTATAGCCATTCCCTGTGGTACTTCAAGCCCAAAGGATCTACAAAGAGAAAATTATCATGCGAGGAAAGGTATATAATAAAAAATAGGAAAATAATGGGTAAAATCCGCAAAAAGAAGGAAAGTGGATACGAGCAGAAAATAGGATAGGTAACCCGAGCGATATGTATTTCTGCTGGTTGGCTTCATCAGCCCCGAAACGAATGCACATATGTAACTACAAAAGTATACAAACATGCCCTTACATCCGGATACGGGTGTAACCTGAGGAAACGAAGATGGAGAGAGAACAAAACGGCACACGTAGTTACCAACAAGACCCAATCTACCTATTGTAGTATAATGGCCAGAAGACCTCGAATTTTCAAGGCAACATCTAACCACAGCCACGCGGCCGATTATAGCCACTTGCCGTGGTACTTTAAGTAAAAGAGAGCTACAAAAAAAGGATCATGCGGAGAAACAATAGAAAAAATCCGTAAAAAGAAGAAAAGTGGATTCGAGCAGAAAAGAAAATAGGTAACCTGAGCAGTAAGTATTGCTTGTTGGCTTCATCAGGTCCGAAATGAATGCACATATGCAACTACAAGAGTAGATAGGGGTGTAACCTGAGGAAACGAAGATGGAGAGGGGGAAAACGATACACGGAGTCACCAACAAGTACCACCAATAATAGCCAGAAGATCTCGAGTTGTCATTCTTTTTCGTCTAAATATATATCAGTTACAACAGCTTTTATGATGCATCTTTTAGCCAAGCGTATCGCATAGAATCATTTGACGTCTAGCGTGACATCTACCGCTCAGTATTTCATTCTACATACCACAAATAAAAGCAAGATTATGATCACACATTTTTTCAAAAATGACATTTCATATGTTCATATTGTGTTACATGTAGCATTACGTTTTGAGACATTTTGTGTCACTTGACACCATGGGATTTTTTGAATGTCACTAGATAATCAGCTGTTATTTGTTGACACGTTTTGCCATTATAAATATCATGCAAAATGATTTGTCATATATAAAGAACTATCGCAGAAAAATAACATCTTGCATAGAAACAACAATAACAAGCAAATAGTCGTGTTGCAGTCTTTTTGTTGTGTATACTTGTATCTGAAAACATGTGCCATGTCTGATTGCGGTGGCCAGTTACTTTTGGTGAGAACGGTACGTCAAATTAATTTAACATAGTGAACATCTTGGAAGCTTGCTCAGACATGCATTTTCAAATTTATTTTAATCGCATCTTGGACTTAATTTAAAGAAAATCCAATAAGGTGTGTCACACATCATACAAACCACCTGGTTCTGCTTACGTTCATTGCACGTTGTTTAAGATAAATAGCATCAACATAGCATATGCAATATCATAAATTCACGATGAAAAAATAATTATATTGTCATCTTTTTCCATATGAATCTGTCGGCACTGATTGCAGATCAGCAAAATCCTGTTTCCTGTATGCTTTATGGCTTAGGGTATAATTGCACTGCACTCTTCCATACCTAAACCAATGCACCTACCGTCTTAACAACGTCTTTTGTTGTCGCTACCGACCTTTTTGCAGATGTCGCCCGGTCGTGAGGGGTGCGACCCGGACATGGAACCCTCGGCATCGCAGTCACAGGATTGCGAACCCACTCCTCCTTTACAACGGCATGGCTCCAAGAGCAATTTTTTTCTGTCCTCCTCAGGACAACATGGCTGCGATCAGGACTCCCCCAGGCATCCGCCGAGGCCAATGCAGCATCACTATCCGCGTAGTAGCCCGCATCCTAGGCCTAGAGGCCTGGACCCTAGCAGGTAATAAGGCTCAATTTTGGGCCTGTATTTTTTTAATATACACATTTGACTTGCATATATATATATATATATATATATATATAGCTGAAAGTAATTCAGAAAGACAAACATTCGCCGATGACAGGCAGATAATTTATTTCGACACCACAGATGCTTAATGAAAAAAAAAAAACATATCACCGCTCTAGAGCTTTCATTCTATTCGATGCTTGTTCGACTTTAAGTTTAGAAAGAAACTCTGAATCGTTGATGATGTCAATACTAGCAAACTGTGATGTCGTGTCTGGCTCAGTTGCCGAAAAACCTGCTTCAAATCTTTCAAAATAACTGCGTTTGCTTTATTTTCGGCCTGCCAAAAAGAGAAGATGTGATCACATTAGTGAAAACTATAACGAAATAAATTGGCTTAGGTTAGGTAGTCTAGAAGTATTTAGTTTTAGACCACAAAATTCTCAGATAATCACTTGGAAAATAGCTTAAAATCAATATCCTTGCCGAGTTTTCGTGAGCAAGTCCAAAACGGGCTGTTCGCGAGAGGCTAACAAATTCTGCTATGCAGTTGTAGAATATTACGTGATGTTTTGTTTTTTTGATGGACAAAGGACCAAAAGGCAGATCGGATTTTATTGAGCAGTGTATTGTTCGAAAATGCTCCTTGTATGCCATGTTGATCTGTTTTCTTTGAACTCTCTTAACCTGGTGAATTTGTCTTTAAGGTAACTGGGATGACTTACTTGAATACCTTGCTTTCAAGATCTAGTTCCTGAACATCAATCACCCCGCTTCAGATGTAGTTCTCCTCAGTGATTTTCATGCCCATAATGAGCTTTGGTTGGGTTCAAACAAGACCGATGCAGCAGGTCGTGCAGTTGAAGCGTTCGCTATTACTTAAGAGCTGACCCAGCTGGTGACGCGCCCTACTTTTTTTCCTCGCGTCTCGTCACATGCTTGTACTCTGCTGGATCTCTTTCTGACCACGCATCATGTCCCCTACAGCATTGTAGTCCTGTCCCCCCTGGGTAACTCGGACTACGGTGCTGTGGAGGTTAGGTTTCAGCCAGAACCCGCAGTGGCAGCAGAAACTCGCCCAGGACCTCTATTCTTGAATTTGAGAGAGTAGAAATTGTGAGAGAAAGTGGCAAAAAGTGGGTGTAGCCAAGAAATGCAGTATTCTTGAAATCAATTCTACCGGAAAGTGATAGAAATGAATGCACTTTAGGGAGTCGCGATTTCTGTTGGTACCGACCAAGAGAAACTGGAAAAATTAGTAGAAAATAGCGCTATATAACCTAAAAATTGACATGTTTGGCATTGTTATTGTCGTTCCTGCTAAACATATTGCAAACAATGGTTAATTCCAATGAATTGATGTTTTGGAACGATATTATTAACGAGGATGTAGATGAGGCTGTTGAGGAATGGGAGATTGGGAGAGATATTCTTGGGCACCGAGATCGTTTCATAATTTCGGATCGAAAATTTGTACAGATGTTTAGGTTGACCAAAGATTTGGTGTATGAATTGCTGGTGATATTGACTCCATTCATACAACCACCTCCACGAGCCTCTGCACTTTCGATCACAACAAAGGCAAGAGTAGATATCAAGTTTTAGTCATTCTAAAACAGTATCCTTCAATCTATGATTGAATTTTCCCTGGTGTATTTGGGGGTGCTCTCGAGAAATTCATTTTGTCCTTTTGTTCGTTTGTGATGTGCTTTTTCTAAACTTTCGGCTCCATAGATAAAATTATGAGGAAATCTTGACCAAAATCTTTGGTTAGTTTTTGACTGTCAAAATTATCTCCATTTTGATTGGTTTAACACGTTTACTGAAACCTGGAAACCCTGAGTCTTGATTTCCTTTCTCCTTTCTATCGAGGCCTTTCAAGAATACAGTATTTTTGAATCGATAGAAAACCAGGGGATTAGAAAAAAATGATTTTCTATTAAAGTCAAGAATAAGGGCACAGGCCACAAAATTCTTCTCTACCTTTCCTTGGAGAGATGTATGTTTCGCTGATGCGGAAGCGTCGGCTGTCTGTTATTCGATAACCGAAATTATCCACGTCGGGATGGAGGAATACATCCCTCATACAGTGAAAGTGCGTAAACCAAGTCCAACGGCTGGTTCTACGAATCGTATCACACTGCTCGCCAGCAGAAGGTCAAGGCATACAGAATCTTACAAAACTCCACTGTAGAGAGCAGGCAAGCCGACATCGAGTCCAGAATCAAATATAACGAAGCGGTTTGCAATGCGCAACACAACATATAAGTTAGGCACAGGGTAATGTCGCAGCGCAATGGCAGTCGTTTCTTTTGGACGCTGGCCAAGCAGATTGAAAGGAACTTCTCAAATATTAGCCTTCCACCACTTACGTGTCAGGATCGAACGATTGTAAAACACTCAAACGCCAAGGCGGAAGTGCTTGCTAAGATATTTGCTGCCAACTCCACTATGGACGTCCTCCCAACGACCAAGTGCCTTCAACTCAAAGCGTTCCCTACATACAGGCATAAGACCGTAAAACGGGTGCTCTTGTCGCTCGACATCAACAAAGCTTCTGGCCCACACCTGGTTCCTGCCATTGAACTGAAGGGCTGTGCAGCGGAGCTTGCTCCAGTTCTTTCGCGTCTCTCCCAGATATCTTATGAATCCGGCACCTTCTCAGAAAAATGGAAATTTGCTCATGTTCAACCTATCCCAAAAAAAGGATCTAAGACCGACCTTTACTACTACATGCCTATAGCTCTGATTTTTCTTCTGGTCCGGACTTGCTCCAGTTCTTTCGCGTCTCTTCCAGATATTTTATGAATCCGGCACCTTCCCAGAAAACTGTTAATTTGCTCATGTCTAACCTGTTCAAAAAAAAAGATCTAAGACCGACCCTCACAACTATAGGCCTATAGCTCTACTTTCTGTTATAAATGAGGTGATGGAGAAGTGCATAAATCGCGAGCTTCTGGACTACCTCGAACGTCACGGCTTGATTAGCGACAGGCAGTATCGTTTCCGGCACCAGCGATACACACCTCCTAGTTTACGTCACGCATCTCTGCCGCTGAGCTGGAAAGAAAAAGACTATCGACCACTTCCTGTCTGACGAGAGACCTGGAGGTTATCACTGCTTGGGGACGCAACAATCTTGTACAGCTTAATGCTTCCATAACACAGTACTGTACCTTGACGAACAAAAGGCGCTATAGCGCTCATCCCGTTTCGATGGATAGAGTTCTGCCAAAGAGCCGTTCATTTCGGCTGGTTGGAGTTCAGATCACCGAGGACTTGATCTGGCACGAACATATCTCGTCAATAACGACAGATGCTGGGAAAAAGCTAGTCTGTTTGTGTAGGGCTAAGAAGTACTTTTCACCGCATGACCTTCTCATTCTATACAAGGCCCAGATAAGGACTAGCCTCGAGCATTGCTCACATGTTTGGGGTGCTGCCGCCTCGACTACATTATTTATGCTCGATGCTGTCCAGAGGAGGGCTGTCCGACTAATCGACGACTTTCCTCTAACAGACAGTCTCGGGACCCTTTCGCACCGCCGGGCCGTCGGCGATCTAGCTCTCTTCTACCGCTACACCAACGGGCTCTACTTCTCAGAGCTCTCCTCCATGATGCCGCCGCGCGATGTGCCTGCCAGACAATCCCACCTGACTTTAGCCTCCCGTGCTAGCCGTGTCGAACTTCGTACATCCAGAACTGGCCGATACTACCGCACTTTTGACCCGAGGGTGTCGAGATTGTGGAACAATTTGAAAGAGGAAGCTTCTCCCAGTTCTACTAACCTTAGGCAGTTCAAAATCAAAAATCGGATTAACAAAATTTCTTTGGGATCTTAATAGGAGCCGCGGTGTCCCGGCATTCAGACTTCTGCCTGCGCGGCGGCTTCGGTATAAAAAACTATTTTTTGTAGAACTGAGTGCTGTTTTAAAAACTATGACTGTTTAAATGTCTGCAAAATTGACATCTGCAAGCGTTTCATACTGTTAATACCACCTTTCAACGGAAAAAAAATCATAAACCTTTATCGATGGTGCAGTGAGTCTACAGTATTTGTATTGTTCTGTTTTTTCAGAAGTGGGACCCCAGACAGTCTAGGACCTCAAAGGCCGTCGCCCACTATGCAGCAGAGAATCAAAGCGTTAGGTGTACCTACACCTTTGGCAATGTCTAGTCCAGTTAGAAGGTAAACGTTATTTTAGTATACTACAACAACGCAAACGTGATTTGGAAGTGTGATATTTTTTGAGTGTAATACATGGTTTTTAATAGTGTGGTTGCTTTTTTGTTTGTATCCTTGGATTCCATTTTGCATACATTGTTGTTTTATCCGTAGTATTTTTTAAGTATCTTTATAGGTCACTATTCAATTATCATGTCGGTTAAAATTTACTTGACGGTCTTTATTCTGTTCTATTCTATTCTTTATGGCAAATGCCAATATGGACTCATTTTCACCTCAAATGGTACTTTTTGATTGGAGTACAAACTACGAGTTTTTATAGGTCTAAGGTGAATGTGACATGTTCAGAATCTACTGTGATCCATACCTTCAGCATTTATTGATGGATTCGTATGTGTCAGTTGATTTCTATGTATCAGTGAATACTAACGTCCATGCTACATGTTCAATAAATAACACATTCATTAATAAATACTGACAGACCACAGTAAATACAGAACATATAGTATTCCCCAATCTGTATCTCGAGCAGTATAGATGTATTTAGATTTTTTTTAAGTTTTCGAGATCGATATTTAAGGTAGCAGATTGTTTTGCGTTTATTGTTTCGCCTATCGATTTAGATATTATTACGAAGTATCGAGACCATTGTTGGAAATATGATATTCAGCAATTATGAAATTTACCTCTTTTGCTTTGGACCTTGTGCATGCATTTATCGTCTCAACGACGTCTGTAAAACCACATCTAATATAATGAGTCCTTGAATGATTGAATGAGTAAAGAAATTAGAGGCATACCGGCCACCATGAGGAGCCGGCTCTTAGGCCACATAATGTGCACTCATGCATCACTACATTCCCTAAGTCTCAAACTCCGCCTTTCTTGAAAAGTTTAGTATAGCCCTGAGTCCCAGCTCCTTAGATTCTAGGGGTTCAAAACATGCGTCGAGGTCTACTTCGCAGCGCTCACACAGGATTCTCTGCCGCCCCATCACATGCAGGTGACGCCGTATCGTGTGATGGCCAGACAACAGTCCTACCAACAACCTTAGGTTGAATCTATCCAAAGATAAGCAAAAGCCTCCACCCTTAACACTAGCCCCTATGATGAGATGATCTCGTGAATGACGAGGATGTCTAGAGATGCTTTTTTATTTCAGAGAGCTATTTAGCAATCCATTTCTCCATTATGCTACTGACTGCGCGGGCACCCCTAGGGCTGGCTCAGGACCAACAAGCTTTCCTGCTGTTCCTGCTTTCACAAGAGCGTTCGCCATATCACTGCCCTTTATCCCAGCGTACCCTTCCGTATACTAGACCACGTGCTTTGGAGACCGGAATTCCAGTCCGCCCTCTTCGGATACTCCACACTGAACTTGCGATTAAAGCGATATTTATGTGTGATCAGATCTCCCCTGCTCAGAAGTAAGGGACCCTTTGCAATTCGACTAAGACGGCAGTGTGACCCTTGACAGGATTCATAAAGGCCCAGCTGCTCTGACTCCACAGTCGATGTGCGACTACTCTCGCCTTTCCGCGGATCACTAGATCCAACGTAACAATAAGTGCTCACACTCAGCCTTTGTAAATAGTCAGATATAAAAAATACATCCGCATCTAGTATAAGTCGATGCCTGTTATTGAGTTTTGGACGGCTTCCAAATAGGACAGGAGAATACATTGAATAACAAAAGCGTTCCATTTGGCTTCATAGGCTTTGGCTAAACGACATTGTGTCTGTTATTTATTGTTTAGTGGAATGAATACCAGAATTAAGTTTGGTATTCATGGCATTGTAAAGTACAATGTAGAAACTAGTCTTTGGTTGTTCCAAATACGATATGTTCACGTACACGTACACCTAGTTGTATTTTTGTTATTGCAGATTTTGACATCTGTGGCCATCTTTTTACCAACTTCCTGCTGATATTGATGCCAGGTTAATTTTCTGATACCTATTATTGTACTGGCAATATTTTAGGTTAGGCTGCTTGCATTAGTATTAATCATGCAACTATTTTTCATGATTCAGAAAGATGTTAGTGAAATATACATTTTTAGAGTACTATGTCCAATAACCCATATAATTTTGAATATGTATCGGAAGTTTGACGGAGATTTCAATCATTTCTGGTAATTCTGAGGCAAGTGATAAATTTCCAAACTTCCAAATAGGTTTTGATAGAATTGATTGTTGTGTCATTACTTGACAGTTTTCCGTATTGTTTTTATAAAATGGCCTTTTTGAATAGTCATGTAATTTGTCAATATACAGTTGACTTACTGATTTAATCGTTCTGACAAATTGATACAATTTTAAGCTTCTCTAAACTATATAATTATGTCCGGTACAAAAACAAATGTTAGATTCAATGTAGTTGGATCTAGCCATATCACTACAAATCAGATTAACTGAGAAAGCCCAAGCGGCAGTAGCTGTTTTGTTTTTGCATGTCTATAGTCATTTCCATGGGTCCTCATGTCACTACCTTCAGATAGGCCATGGCCGCCAACGTTATGCTAATCTGGCTGGCAGAGAACACTCTAAATGCTAACAGATATCAGATATAAATTTGGTGACAATCAGTGTTGATGATGACGTGAGGATATCCATTTATGGTAAAGGCTGACATCTATCCATAGTAATGGTCATCCATACATTACCTTTGTCGCACTGTGTATGAGCTATTGCTGTTTGGCGTAGTAGTGCTGTTTGTAGCTTACGAGTTTAGTATTGTACACGCCATTAGAGGTGCTGTATTGTGTCAGTTCATCAATTGAATATAATGAAGGTGACTGTATTCCTCTTATAAACAAATAACGTTGGCAAATAATTATAATAATTGTTTGTCAAACCTTTGTGTGCTCCAAAAAAAAAAAGTGAAATTGTTTGATGTTCAAGTGATATGTGTCATCTTAAGCAATTTTTTTAATCGGTTGCGCTTTTCCCTCCTTTTCATCACAGATGTTCTTTGCAAATGGAAATTAAGAACAGCAGAACTCTTGATTGACAGGAAAGAATTTTTACTCTGGAAATTTAATTTATGTCAAATCAAATATCAACTTTTTATACAGCCGTGTCGGAAAACTTTTCTGTAGTAACAATGGAAAATGAAATTACTTCTTTTTTATATTATCTGAAAATTGACTTGTACCGGGTGACCCAATAATAAAAGAAGCCGGATATAGCTGAGCAACGGCTTACGCGAAATCATATCATATAAATACATTTTACATAACTATTCTTAATTATAAATTGTCATTTAAGCATATTTTTCATTATATCTCCATAACGAATAAAGATATTGATTGCAGTTTTAGCCGTTTCATAGGGTTTTTATGCTCTTTCGGATGATCGTGAATATCCGTGCAGCTAAACAGAAGTTATATTACTTTTACTGAAATGACATTCAACCCTTCCCCCACCCTAAACAAAAGATGAAAAAACACATTGAGAAAGAAAAATTGAGTAATCAACATAATCAGTACGTTAATTACGCATTTTTGCAAAATAATGGCGTTTGAATATTGGAAATTGGAAATAACAGCCATTTTCGTAATCTGAAAATGATTTCCAGTAATTTCCCTTGGACACTTTTGTTATGAATTTTATCAACGGGTGGCTCTAGGTTAAGCTGTTGCCGAGATATAACCGGCGTCCTTTATTATTGGGTCACCCGGTACATTAGTCTGGTTGATTAGCTTTCATTCCAATCTGATCACAAATATTGATGTTGATTGAATCAGCTCAAAAACTGCTTGTGTAACTAGACATCAGTATCGATCCATGTGCACAACGTTCGTTTACCATTAAGTCTATTGATTGACAGATCGAACCCATCAACCCCAACGCAGCCTCGACGGCCTGACTTCATCGGGGTGATGTACGGGGGCAGTGGGGGATGCCAACCCCCAGTAGGTGGGACCAGAGAGCAGCCCGCTGGTGGCGCAGGCGGCCACTATTATGACTTCCAGGTAAGTATGCTTAAGGCTTGGTTAAAGGAGTTGCTGACCTGGCAGAACATATATGCACAGTCTAAGGCGGCGTTTATACTCTGAGGTGTCAGGTGGCGGGTGGTAGGCGATGGACGATGCCGTTTGTGTCCGTTATGCATTGATTTTAATTTACCCATTTATACTCGACATGTGTCGGAAGAGAATGCGATGGTGCGGCGATGCCACCCGCATCTAGAGGTGTTGAAAAAGTAACTATCCGTTACTCGAGTACATTCATAGATACCCAAAGAAACGAGTAACAATCCGAGCACCAAATGGTTACTTCCATTACTCATTAATTACTCTGAAAGGCATTTTTTATCATTTTCTTCCGATTCCAGAATTCTACCAAATTACACAAACATCTCCTTTATCGTAAATAATCAGAAATTAGAAATTAATATAGCATCAGATATGAAATAAATGAATTATATTTCATATATTTTAAAAAAGTCAGTTATGTCTCGTATAAAATTAAATACATCACAAACATTTTAAAAGAAAGATACAAAGGGTAGTATAAAAGTTTTGCAATACAGCTTTATTTATTGACTTCGTTCAAAGTAATTTCCACCACATTCAATACACTTCTCCATCCGCCAAAACCAATCCTTAAACCAGTTCTGTCAAGTTTCACCCGGAAGTGCGGCACACTTGTTGTCCCAAGCCCTCAGAAGGTTCTCATCGCTAGAAAACCGTTTTACTTTTAGCTTCATTTTCACATGCGGAAACAGTGCAAAGTTACAGGGAGCAAGGTCTGAACTGTAAGGAGAGTACTCAATAAGATTCAGTCCAGTAGTGGTCAAATACTCGGTGCAGGCTTGGCGTGGTGAGCTGAAACGTTGTCATGGTGGAGGTACCAAGTATCCATTCTTGACTTTGGCCGCAGTTTTTCATAGACTCTATGACTTTAGACAGGCACTGTTCCATGTACCACTTAGCTGTGACTGTCTTCTGTGTGTTCAAAACGACACGCTCCACAATCTTGCTCGAGTTGAAAAATACATCATTTTTTTCTTAACAGATCGGGATTTTCTGACAGCTACGGGTGTGTCCTCATCATCAAACACCCAAACTTTGTTTCGAGCCTTGGTCGGTACATCATAATAATAGAGCCTAGTCTCGTCACCTGTCACGATGCGGTTCACATACCGAGATTGCCCCTTATCAAACATTTTCGACATCTTTACCCAGAGAGAACAAAGTTTCCTTACGTGTAAATAGTCATGAAGAATTGAATGAATGGCTGGAGCATTAAGGTATAAGGTCTCCTCTATCTGTTGGTATGTCACTCTCCGGTCTTCATCAAGCATTTTCCTCACAGCAGTAATGTTTTCTCTGTTAATGACGTTCGCGGCCTTCCTTCCCTCTCAGCGTCCTCCAGAGTGAAGACAATCATTCTTTAATGCAACCGTCATTTCTTCTAAGCACTGGTCTATGCTTAAACCACACGTAAAGTTATACAGTAAAACTGTCCGTATCTCACTACGTGACCACGATGCCATAAACCGCACTTTACACTGTCAATACGAATGAACAACTAAAGTCACAGACATGCTGCTGGCGGCTACTCTGCACTCATGGATATGATGTCTCAATATATACATGTATATGACTTTAAACAGTGTTGTCTCTTACATGCTATAACCATCACAAATTTATTAATAACGAACACAATCACCACACAAGGCATAAACTAAGAGAAACAGAATTAGACAAAATAAATCTATAACACAACGGTGATACCTTTATTTAGGACCAAAATTATACGCAAATTTACCTGACGATATAAGGGGTGGCAATTATTTCAAGAAAAAGTTGAAATAATTGATGTTTTATCTGGCAAGACGAGATGTATACAAATTAATAGTAAATGTGAACATCAAATGATTAATTGGTTAGTCGCATCTCTATTCATGTTTCAATAATATGTAAATCGCATTAAACACAGGCAATGCGACCTATGTTTAAGGAGTAAATAAATATTATTATTATTACTCAGTTTTCCGTCCCCGTACGCGTACAATCGTTGATCCTTGTGTCAACGCTGGTTATTTCTGCTATCTTAGGCATCACGGTGGCACTGCCGTTCATATATCAGATTTGCCAGACATCCCACATTTGGGTGGTATGTGTATACTAAGTTGCACATAGAATTTTTCAGACTGGTATCTGCTTAGTTGAAATGCCCATAGCTTCGAAAAGTGACTTGCCCGTCCGAATTTTCTCAATCCCGTAAATATACAGATCAGCTTTCTAACTAAAAGACTTGCTTTTAAAGCACTTCTAGTAAATATAGTTTTTAGGCACATATGAGTCATGTGACACCCTATCCTATAATAAACCATCGCGTTTTGCATGAAATTTGAAGATACGATGTTTGCATTAAGAACGGCAGATTTAAATAAATTATGATTAAATTTTTTTACAATTCTTAGGGCCGATTTCACCAACATTAATATTATGGACCAATGGGAAAATACCTTATCGAAATGCAATTTGACAGAAGCTGTCAAAGGTCTCTGAATATTAGTGATTTCTATTGAAATATTGAATAAAATCGTGAAAATTCGACTGTATTATAAACAAGACCACTTTTTGATTCCAACATGATGCTTTTGTACAGAAAAAACAGGACAACTTTTATGAATTTTGATATATGTTATAGGTTTACATTTAACAATCCGTTATCCCCCTCAGCGAGTGGAAATGCGGCAAATAATAGGTCGATTTTCTAGCTGTTAAATTTTTCAGCAGATTTGGACGTTTGTTAATGCATGGCACTCTCGAATTTACCAGCTTCAATATACTGAAAGTTATAATTACATACCTGTTGAATAGTGTGGATTTGTCTGTATTTTGCAAGAAAATAGAATATAAAATACATTCCATCTAATTCCTCATCTTCCTTTACGTCATAATAGTAATCATTTATTGATTTATGGGTTAATGAATTTCTTCAAAGCAATAAAAACATTATGTCCTCTCCATCCTAAAACACAGATAATATGTGTAAGACGTGTCAATCCCTACATCTCCCTGATGCATAATGCAATTACTATGGACATAGACAAAAAAATATGAAAAATGTTTCACAAATAATGTCCTTTTAAGTCCAAAAATCATCAAAACTAGTAATGTTTATTGCTTGTGTTTTTGACTGGCGGTCGTTGACTGGCGGGGATATCTATCTGTCACTCGAGGGTTGCCAAGTCTAACGACGATCACGTCCCGTGGTGGAGGGTGCGAAATGAATCTTTTACATTTGCTGGTTTTGCATTTTTTCGTGAAAATTTACTAGGTCATGATTATAAGCATCTTTGGTAGATTGTTCGATCCGGAATGGGAAAGATCTCCTATTTATGAAAATATTTTTGGTATCATCTAACCGTTGCAATCAGTGCACAAACACTGTGACATATGATTTATAGCATAACCTGCTGCCCTATCAATACAAATTTAACATACAGGTCGCCTAGCCGTGGGGATGCAGTGGTCGGGATGAATATCACGGCAGCAACTGATGATTTGGGCATGTCTCGTAAGAACGTATGAAGTGAAACTCGCTAACTTCACAAATTTGAAGATTTTGTACAATTTCTTTGAAAATGATGAAAGATATGTCTGATTTGGCAGGGTAATGTCGCAGAAAATTGGAAGTCACTCTTTCTGACACAGTCCGGATCGAAAGATGACGATTTTCAGGTGTTGTGCAATGATTTTGGGAAAAATGTCACGAATAGTCTTATAAAGCGTAGTAGAGTATATTTCAACAGTTGGCGAAACTTACTCCACTGGGACCAGGAGGGTGAAACGGGATATTAATGGACAATCTGGCAACCCTGTCGCACCCTCACAAAATGGCCGCTGACAACCACACAAGTCACCGTGTTGTGATTGAATAGCATGGAATTAAACCTTCAGAGTATGTTTTGTGACTGGTACCAAGAGTTGACAGATCCCACACATGTGTCACTCCTTGAAATGCAGTAATCAGCTGTATTCAAATAATGTCTAATATAAATATAACCTAGAATGTGTACTCGTGAAAAAAGAAAAATATGGCAAATTTGTAGTTTTTTTTGCAGGTTTTATAGGTTTAAGGTTTAAGGCATATATTTGGGAATTTCTTAATCGCTGTGAATATAGTGTGGTTGTTTGTTCAGTTCCTGAACAATGAAAAATATTCAACTTTATGGATCTATGGATATCAAAAAACCTGAATGGTTTTGTGGGAATATCAATCTAAGGTGCCATAATGGTTCTGATGAATGGCAAGTAAATGAATGAAGGTTTGGAAATGAGCAATATCTTTTGGTAGAGCCTGTCATCATGTAGGTGCTTAATGGCTATCTGCAAGAGGTTTATAGGAAAAAACACCCAGTATCACATATCAATTGAAGAAAATAATATAACCATGAATAAAACATCAACAATAGCAATTAAAATATAATATTCAATAAGCTGGTAATGATTCAATGACAAGTTGTCATCTCATACTTTGACAGTATTTTGTTTTCAACATTTCATAGCTATTGGTTGATAAAATTTGTTGATTGGAACTTGAAGCTTATTCGCTGTATCTGACAGTCTGTTACCCTATAGGTGGAGAATAACGGACTATTGTTGGTGAAATTGGGCCTTAAGGTTGCTTATTTTCTTGCAAAACAACTTACTAAACATAATATAGTCGTTCCATTAAAGTTCTTCAAATTCGACATTAATCATTAATTATACAACGCACGTTGCTAAAACGTTATACTCATACTCATAGTGATTAAGGTAATCAAAATAGCGAATACAATGTAGAAGAAGTAACGAATACTCGAAACTAATGGAAATCAACAACTCTACCCGCGTCTGCAAAATGAAATTTGAGGAGATTCTTACACCATTCGAGTAATTTTCAAGGGGCACAATTTTCTGGGAAATTTTTTTGAATAAAAAGAAAACCTTTGGGTTTTTGTCAGGGCAAGAGG